AGCCAGCTAAGCAATCATCTCGCACCCCGATTCGGTCCCGAAATATATCTCGTAATTTGGACGGTCAACTATTGTGTTTTGCTCTGCCTTTGGTCTACGCGGAACGAATACTATGGAAGTTGTGAGTATTAGATCTTGCGTTAGTATACTTCTTACTATCCGTGAACGTCATTACCATCAACCTCTCTCTCTCTCTCTCTACATATATATATATATATATATATATATATATATATGAAGTCTAACCTTATTTGCGGATCTGGTATGAACTGTGGATTATCGATGAACAGCCTAACGGTAAGAATTAGAGCATGCTGGCAGGCATTTATCTAGCTGTTTCTCTACTGGCTTATTTAGAAAAAGATACCGATGTTCTGCAGCCAATCCCTTATGAACAAATCCAAAAAAGTAGATCTGATGCAAATGTAAACAAAAAATAGCTGTATTACTTCTTCTATATCCAACCTCTGAGCAACATATTCTAACGCATCCCTATCAGAGGTATTAGACGCGCACCCCTTGAATACAACATGCTTTTTCCTCTCCAACCGGAAAGTACTTATTTTGTGAATTATCCACTTGGGAAACCTGATCGTTCTAGCCGATGAATTAAGTTCAACATTTACTTACATATCAAATCTCTTTGTGGTAAGTCCAGCTGTCTCGAACTACTACCCAAGCTTCAGGTGGCACTTTTGTAGCAGTATCTTCCTTATATCGTTCAGATAAACAAGGCTTTTTGGTCTACGTCGTGATTGCTGTGAAGCCGATCAACCAGAAAGTACTAGATAAAGTCGAAAACCTTTTCTTTTCCTTATCTTGTACTTTATCAGTCTTATTCTTGTTCTTGTGGGTAGATACTGTTGCTTTCTTATTCGTATATAGCATAAGTTATAGTGATTGTTAATATGGTGGTTGAAAAGCACTAAATCACCATATTCTGTAGTCACAAGGGCTTCAGCCAGAGGAGCCAATAACCGAGGGACATCAACCCCTTCCCGGCATACCGATCCTAAAAACTCGTGCACGTCTCACCTGTTCTGAAACGGCACAGGCAATACCAGGTGAACAGGATACTACACCTGCTTCCACTCAAAGACAGTGCGTGAAACACAGCAAAACAAAAAGGAAACGCCCAAGACGTCATAAGACCTCGAAAGCGTCAGCAAGGAAGGGAGACGAATATCAGGCGTGTAGTGTCGTCGTTTCTAAAACTGACTAAGCATTTGAATGCAATTTTTGCAAACGATGAATACACTGCCGTTGTGACAAAGGGGTGCCGAAATAATACTATGAGTTAATGAGAAATAACCCATGCCCATGTTTCTGGTATACCTTCCCTTTTTGTCACCCTCGCACAGTCCCACACAGCGTGTCTGCGGATAGCAGAAACAGCACGTCACTCTTGTGTCTCGGCACAGTCTCACGCAGCTCCCCACCTGCTAACACCACACCACCAAAACTTGGTAAAGACAGTAAGAAGGATACTCCAGTCCAACTGACTGGAAATGCCAATCTTCACAAAGTGAAGACTCCCAAGGTTGCGCCTACAACATCAGATGAAGACAGAATTGCCAAAGCACCACTTGCATCCACTATCAAGCTTGGTAGCACAGCAAAGGTTGGTCAAAACCTGATGAAGTCTAAAGTTACTGACCCTGCAAAGGAATACAAGCAGCCAAAAGCCTAACTTAAGTCTGAGGTCAGTCGGTCTAATTCTCTTATCATTTTTAATGTACTTGTGAGCAAGGATAGCTTGCTTGAACAACGGGCCCTGTTTGATCAGGAACAGTGGTCCAATTTGCGCAGCGAATTAGGTCTGAACATCAGTTCAGCGAAGTTGTGCAGGCTGTACAGGGGTTTCCACACACCTCAGGGTAATCCACCCCCACTAAGGTTTACACAGGACTCTGCCGAAGAGACCAAATGGACACTGTTACTGGCTCAGGTACTACCCATCGACAGGATTTCTAGCATAAGAGTGAGACATGATAGACCGTGGGCTAACAAGCAAATGGCGAGGGAGTCACCGAAACTGATGCCTTCTACCTCAATGATCATACACGGTGATCCGGAGCTGGAAACTGGCACTGCTAGTGAAAAACACATGCATGACGTACAGTAATGGAGATGGCTGTCATCTCAGATGGCCCTTGGCGCTTGTGGAGCAATCTCCACTTTCCGATTACTTAGCCCCGCTCATCTCACACTGATTAGTTCTCCAAGGCTACCAAGCATCAAGTTCAACTCCCAGGGGCAGTTGGCCATAGTACGAGACCAAGGGGAAAATGGGAGGACACATCCGATGCTGCGAAAGCAGACCCCGAACCATAAGGAGGCAGCAAACTGAGGCCTTAATACGTCCTCAAGCCTCAGGGACACTAGCGCGATGTGGTAGTAAGAATAATAGTCAGTGTCACCCAAGTGTCCTACCTAAATCCATGGAAAAAACTACAACAAGCCGATTCCATCGGAATCGGCCAACTAGTCCCAACACTACGTCCCCTACCAGCAGGCAACGTTACGTCAACCACAACAACAGCAAAAAGTCAACAACCACAACACGCTGAGGTTGTGAGACACTGTCAGTTGCTTATATAGCAATGTGAGAGGACTGAGAGGAAAAGTAGGCGAACCCAGAAATCTCCAATCACACCTACACCTTAAAATATTCATTCTTACTGAAATCTGGCTAACCCCCACTATCGCCGACAACGAAATCAGTGTAGGTGATATGGTTCAGGTCAGGACAGAAAGGGATAATAAGGAGGGGAGGAGTTGCCACATACTTTGACAAGCAACCTAAATGTGTATGCGCAATGGACCCACCACTTATTGAACTCCCAGACTCCATATGGTGTCATTTCACAGTAGGCCATACCATAACTTACTGGGTGGCATCTACCGATCACCCACCTATGGGGCAGAGCACAACCACCTACTGCTCAACACAGGGATACGAGACTTGGGCTATGACCAAATCACCACAGCTGGAGATCTCAATGCCCTATCAATGAACCTTGACGACTTGTTCCAACACTCGATGGATTCGAGGAAACTGCCAAGGGAGTGGAAAAGAGCCATCCTTTCTCCGATCTTCAAGGGTGGGTGTAGAAAAGTGCCACTAGTTATAGTTATAGTACCACCAGTATCTCTACTCCCAGTGGTATCAAAACTACTGGAAAGTATTATTGACGATCACATCAGGGATTACCTTGATAGGTCTAACATGCTCCATGAAGCCCAACACGGTTTCAGTAAAGGCAGATCCTGTGTAACAAACCTACTATCAGCTTTGGAAGATTGGACATCATGCTGGGATGTGAATGTTCCAGTCCATATGGTCTTCCTAGACTTTGAGAAGGCTTTTGACACAGTTCACCATGACCTTCTCCTACATAAAATAAGTCAGACAGGTGTAGGTAAGCCACTTCTGGCATGGTTAAAGGACTAACTAGCTGAAAGGAAATTTTGCACTGAGGTCAGTCAAGTCCGATCATTTTGGCACAGTTCGTTGTCAAGAGTGTCGCAGGGCTCTATCCTTGGACCATTGATGCTTTTGATTTTTATCAACGATCCGCCATGCCGTCTAAGCTGCCAAACTCTTCTATGCTCTGACGACGAAGAGATATGGAAGGCGATACAGTGTCCGGAGGACTCAGATAGGCTGCATGCAGATCTAAAGCTTCTGGAAGACTGGGCGATGGCCAGTGGTATGACTTTCCACCTGAAAAAGTACAAAGTAGTGAAGTTACGCACCTGTAGACTGCAGAATGCAAGTTACACCCTGTGCAATGAAAGCTTGTCCTGCACAACGTCGGAGCGCGACCTAGGTCTAGTTCTAATGGAGAAAATGGACATAGGCGTAAATTACACGGTGGATGTAGCGAGGGCATTTGCGGTCATACAATTTACACATGGACCGTTCGGTGCACTCACTCCTGAGCTCTTTCTAAGGCTGTACAAAACTTGCGTCAGACTACACCTTGAAGTGCATAATACATTGCACCCCCACAGATTAGAAGAGACGCAAACCTCTTGGAAAGAGTCCAAAGACGGGCGACAAAATGAGTGGTTGGTCTTAGTAATAAACCATATAATGAAAGGCTGAAGAAATTAGGCCTATTCAGACTTAGCTACCATCGGTTTATGGGGGATTTGATTACTGCCTACAAGATAAAAAATGACTGTAATCACCCAAACAAAGGTGCTCTGCCATTCAGTAGATATAGGCTTCCTCAACGAAATCCCAGAAGGATAGCTCACTAGAGGGCAAGGACCTGAGTGCGCTTCCACATCTTTTCCCTGCGGGTTAGCCATCCCTGGAATTCCCTACCGGCAGATGTAGCTATGGCACCGCCTGTGGACACATTTAAGCGAAGGTCGGACAATCATGCAGCGACACAAAGACTGCGGCCAAATGGCCTATCCCCTTGAAATCCCATACACCATTCAGGGGTAGACAACTAAGTTCGTCGTTTTACTCCTTCACATTCTCTCCTGTCTTACGCTCCTGACAACTCTAACTAATACACTTATTATTATCACTGATTATAAATATATCAATCTGAAATGTAATCAGCTGACTGTTTTACGTTTCCTTTATTTCTTTTTCTGTCTTTTAGTTTGAATAACCTACACTAATTGTATCGATTATTATTATCTCTTTTCTTTTGAGGACGATACCGGAGGACTAACTGGTGAAAGGATCAACTCCATTCACAGTAGTAACAGTCTCAACACACCCATACTACAAACCACATATAATTAATCCCTGCACTACTCCTTTTGGAGTCAACCAAAGATACAACAGTGGAGTGGCCGGACGAGCTACACAGGAGTTTCCTGAATATCAGGAAACTTTACCTCACAATCAAGAGGCGAGCATAAAGAAACCAGATTGGTTTATGATTGCTCGTAAAAACGATATTGGATACTGGATATTTGAGATCAATTTGGTTTACTCTAGGTCTAGGTCGTTATCACGTCATTGGACATAAGGGTTTGTTTGTCTGCGTCATAGAGTGGTCATTGAAAAAATGAAGCTTGTGAGGTGAGTTACTTTTTTTCACGTTTAGAATTAGGACCATTGTTAATTCAGTGCAAATGTCTGCCCTAAAAGCGTAGTTATCTGTGTGGTTCAATGAACATATTCAGATATGTTGTATTTCCTAACGGTTGTCTGCTAACTTACGTTTGTTTGCAATGCTCTATGATTTTATAAACATATGTTCATATGTTGAGTGTATGAAATTCTCGCAAAGCGTCCAAAACGCTGATCGAATAGCTACTGCTAAACACTCCTGCAACATCAACCTTATTATTATTGTACTTCTCATATTCATAATCCTCTAATTTTCTTCATAAGTGTGAACATCATTTAAGCTGTGTTATAACTGTTAATTTCGTATTTCCGTACTATATCAACAGAACATTAGAATTAATAATCTATAACATGCTAAACTTTTCGAACTGAATCGACAACACTGTTTGAAACAAACCCACTGTTATTATTACTATTGTTAAATTTAATATTCTCAATTCGTGCTTCGAATATTTTTGACTTTATATCGTAAACTTGGACAAATTCCTCTCGTTAATTTTGTTTTAATTCTAATTTTATTTATATTTTGAGTAAATCAGATGCAATATTGTGACGAATGCTGAGAATTCCATTCTGTATTATAAGTGCTGTTTTTGGAATAAAGTAGATTATTATTAATAAAAGGCAACCTGACTTTCAAAATGCATCCGTCCCAGCTTCATACGTATCGTAGTGCTTCTGCTGAAACTGATTTCCTGAAAGTCAGATGCAAAAGTTAATGACTCGGTCGGTGAACCACCGATACACAGCGATATAAATGCTATGCTTTTGAACTTAGCTGTCTGGACGTGATGGTAGGTCAAGTTTGTAGTCATTTTCTAGAATACCGATGAGATCTCCGAGTGCAGTATGATGAGAAGAGATTTGAATCGTTAAGTCATTATTCCTGTGGCCGATTAGTCATTTCAGATATCGTACGTGTGGTGTTCCCTTGAATACTGTCTATATTGACTCTCATTAGATAAGGACTGACTTCTTGGATTCATACGTAACCAAAGAGGTGAAAATTTCACTGGTGATTCTGGTAAAAGCCGTAAGTATTAACTTTAAGGATCCAGAATTACTCACTGTCACCGTACGAGTCTTCCGTGATGTTAGGTTGACTCGCATGCAGCTTCCATATGAAACTCAGCATCTATATCCCTAGCGCGTGATGAGTTCTCAGAAATGATGTTTATTTTGGCTTTCCACACCACTTCTAGGTAGCAGCTGTTGGAATACTGCAATTCAAATTCTCCGGACTTGTACACGGGTCTGTAGAATATCCAAGTGTTCAGCTGATCCTTAGTCTTCACTTAAAAAATTGATGTCTACATTCACTTACGCTACTTTTGCAAAAAGCAAGTGTGCGTGATTCGGATGTATTCAACACGCACAATTCGTGTAGACGGTGTAAATGATTACAACGAACTTTGAGGATTTTTCGTAAATTCGAGTTGGTTCAGCAGTTTGAAGGCTTTGTATGTCGTTCATTTTGTAGTGTTGTTTACATGGCTTCACAAGACTTACTGTTTGTAGTCTGCCTGTTCACTCCGACTCAACGTAAAACTTAATAGTGTGTAATATCAGAACTAGTCACGTATACTTGAGGAGGTTGAATTATTAAATGTAGTTACGACCTGAACTATTGTAATCTCGATGAGAGAGTTCGCGCGTCACTATGTCCCTTTGTAGTTTTATAACAGCAAATTGATCAAGACGAAGTTAACAGCACCAACTTAAAACGAAAAAAAACGTGCTAATTAACAATTAATTCAGCAAATACCACAAACCATAAAATTCTGGATGGTTTTCCCGGTGATTACTGATGACTGCAAAAGATGAGTAAAAAAAAGTACAATGTCACATGAGATTGAGCATATGCGTACAGGTTTCAGGTGTCACTTCAGGGAGAGTGGTCTAAACTATGTTAACATTTCATGGAAATACATTTGACAGTCTGTTTACAGTTCTTCGTTAACTGTTTCCGCTTCACTGACAGCAAGTAAGGAAGCGTATGCTACTGAAAAACGGGTTGTTTCTGTACGGAATTTCTGTGAGCAAGACTGAGAATACAGATGTTTAAGAACACAATTAGCTGGTGTCTCAACTGAGAGTTTGTTTCCAGAAAGTTGATGATTGGAATGTTTTCAGAGGTATTTCAAGCCGATATTTCCTACATAAGCTCTTCCACTCTGAGTGAAGAATTTGAAGAGACTATATGGGTATCTTTTAACTTAAACTACTACTAGAAAACTTCACCCGAGGGAGAAATATTGCGATGGCTTCCTAATACTTTTGTCCTTTAATGACGTAACCTTTCCGTCGAGTGATTTCGTTTCAATCAGTCACCTAGTTTTCGGTGTGTCTTCAAAATGAATTCCATAATAGATGCAGTGCAGTGTTGTTTGAAATCACATCGTAGATCTGAACAACAAATTGTGCCAGAAATGTTCGCCTGTCACAATTCTGCAATTGGAAGCATTTGTTGAGATTCGTTCCTTATCTAAGAAAGCGTTTGTATTAACGCGGTGGTAGGTGTTGCGATTCGTGTATGATAAGTGCAGAGCACTGTTGTGGATTTAGTTTGCACATCTAAACAACATGATGAATAGATTACAGTGGTTGATAGTGTTGTTTTCCACTTGTTGTGTTACGTGCTTTGTTCTTTTGAGTGTCACTCTTGCAAGACAATCATCAAAAGAGCTATGTTAAAAATGGTTTGTAGTCAGAACTGTCTTGTGGTAACTGTGTATTGTTTTAAATAACGACAAATTTTTGATTGCACATGTATATTTCTTTATTTTGCTACAAATATTTCAGGTTTCTTATGAAACTGTCCCATGAGACTGTAACCATAGAACTGAAAAATGGCACTCAAGTTCATGGAAGTATTGCTGGAGTCGATGTGTCTATGAACACGCACTTGCGGTCCGTAACACTGACGCTTAAGAATCGGGATGCAATACACCTAGACACATTAACTGTCCGTGGAAATAATATACGGTATTTCATCCTGCCAGAAAGTCTTCCCTTGGACACGCTTCTGATTGACGAAGGGCCACCGAAAAGAAAACCTGGACGTGAAGGTAACCTAGGTAGTTTATTTTTTTCCTGGTGAATTCTTTGTGATTATGAATTAGGGCTTCTGCTATCTTACTAAAAACAATGATTTGGTAGTTCGGGTTGTAAGTGATTCAAATTGTTTCCGCTCAGTGTAAACTGTGCATCTAGTTGGTCTCTTACTAGGGATAAAGATGTAGATTATGTTAATTAGATCAACTATCAGCTTACTTTAGAAGTGTCGATAATGACTTGAATTAAACACGAGCACAGGTGCTGAAGTTGAATAGTCGTAAACTTACCGTTGAAATCAATGTTCTATTTTTATTCTTCGTGTCTTGTCTCACTTAACATATTGTGTATGTGTTGTTTCCAGAGCGTCCTATCACTCGCGGCCGTGGTCGTGGTGGTCCTCGGGGTCGTGGTCGTGGTGGTCCTCGAGGTCGTGGTCGCGGTCCACCAATGCGCTTCTAATATATGTGTATGTACAGTATATTTATGCTTTCGAATATTCCAGACTACGTTTGTTTTTTTTAAATAAAACCTTGTATAAATGATTTATTTTATTATTTATGGATTCTAATTGAGCTCGAACTTGCAAAGGAGAAAATATCTGGTTGAATTGCGTAACTATACTTCCATAGAATCTGTTTTCAACGGTATTATGTACAGTCGATATCACTTTAAAATACACAAACAAGAATGGAGACCTCAATCGATCAGACAGACTTCTGTAGCAGGTTTTTCGATGACACGTTTGTGGTTCGTGATTGTTTCAAATATTAAACGTCGTGAACAGTGCTCATCCTAATGTTGAATTTACAATGGAGTGTGAAGAGGAGGACACTGAACCTTAGAATCGAATGTGATAAAGGTATTGAAATCGTAAGGTACCTTTATAGGAGAGAGATCTGTACTGTGATTTACCCGAGTTTCAATAGCGTTTGTCTTAGAAGTTACAAAAAGCGGTTGGTGAGAACACTGTCTGATCGCGTGTGGAATCTTTGTTCAATGGAGAACTATCCAGTGTTGAAAAGTGCCTGAGTGATAATGGTTACCCACAGGAGTTCATCGACAAACTTGGAAAACATATTGTTGACTAGTTGGAATTCAACACGTTGTGAGATAAGTATAAAACCTGGGCACTGTGGTAGAGTGAGTATAACTCTATTATGGATGATATTTTATTTTGATAAATCACAGTGGTGTTGTACGGTAATATTAACTGATGACGTTTCGAGTACAAATTGTTGCTCATAATCATATCAAGTCACTCACACAACGTTTGGCTTCCTCTCGAAGCAAAATGTTGTTATCCATAATGGAGTTACACGTTGTGAGGCGTTTTATGACCAAAAACACTGGATTTCATTAAGATACGGTTATACATTAAACATGAAATGTTATATCAAAACTGCAATTTCGAGGTAGATGTGTTTGCATCACGCACATCAGCTGGCAGTCTGTTCCAAATGACTGAAAACGTTTTTAAGAAGTTGTACAGCATGTAAGTCTGACAATGCTCTATAGCAGCTAGGTTGTCATGATTTCGGTGTTTATGACTGATGACAGCGGTATATTTAGTTATTGGCCTGGAGGAGTGCAAGAGAAGATTAGTTAGCTTGTAGTAAAAATAAGGGTTAGCTTGAGATGTCTTTTCAGAGTGGTTCTAATCTCAGTCTGTCGCAATGCTCAGATTATTCGAGACTACATTCTAAACCAAGAGTTCTTGAGGTAAATTGCCGTTGTACTCCCTATATTTTAAGCTTGTCATTCTGTCGCAGTCTGCTAAGAATAAACGGGCAGTATTCTAAAGTAGGTCGGACTTGTACTTAATATAATAAAACCCTAGTTTCACAACAAAAGAAATTGCGAGTTATGCATCCTAGGAGCCTTCGTATTTTACGTCTGGCATAATCAGTTTGTTCAGAGAACGTTAAGTTTCTAGAGTATCTGATGCCGAGATCTACGACTGAGTTGAGCTTGGCTAGTTTTCGCCAATTTACTTCAAGAGTTAGATCAAAGTTACTGTTGCCGATGCAAATCCAGCCGCATTTGTCAATATTAAGCTTTAGACAGGACTTAGCACACCATGTTGCGAGACTACTTAGTGCAAGACGTATTTTACTTACCATATTGTTTAATTCGTGACTGTAGCAGGATTAAACGACTTTGAGGTCGTCAGCACATAGGTGAAGCAGTTACAAATGCTGTTAATGTAGACTGTAAATAAAAGTGGACCTAGGACACAACCTCACATGTGATCTGCCTGGGATCAGACAATACTGATCCGACTTTGGTTACTTGTACCCTGTTGCTTAGAAATGATTTTAACCACTTCAGTAATGGATTGCAAATTCCACATGATTACAGCTTTTCAAAGAGAATACTGTGAGATACCATGTCAGATGCCCTAGATATACCGAAGTAGAGAACAACAATTAGCTTACGTGCTTCGTGACTACTAGTGATGCAATTGAGAAAGTCGAAGTGGCAAGTAACGCATGATCTATTTTTGAGAAATCCGTGTTGAGACCTTGTAATAAGATCTTCCCTAAGTAGATAGTCTGATAATTGATCTTTGACAACTTTCTCCATGATTCGTGAGATAACTGGGGTTATATTCATGGGTCTGTAATTGCGAACGTTTGCCTTATCACCAGATTTGTAGTGTGGAATTACAAAGCTAGTTTTCCACTCATTCGGGTAAGTGCCAGTGTCCAGAGATATTGAGAAGAATTTAAGAAGTAATAGGGGAATATCACACCCACTGTTTTAGAAAATTATTGAGGCAAGGCCATCCAGTCCCGTACTAAGGCTTTTAATTGCTTGTTCTATTAGTTGATTGGTGAACACCATGCTTCCGAGGAAAGAGCTAGTAAGGGGTGCGGTTTCACCAGGGATGCGCGTTTTTAAATTAAAGTTCGCAAACCACTCACTGAAAAGTTCACAGATGGTGGCAGGCTCATTGTAGATTACTTTATCGTGAAGTAAGTAGAGGATGTCCCTAGTCAACTGCATTCATTTTTTTAAGAAGTGTTGTTAGGTTATCAACATTAGAGGTACTTTTAAGTACCCTTTACTCTTCGTCGAGGTCCTTTTGGGAGCGTAGGCGCTTGACAGTAACAGTAACTCGTGGATTGAGTGCAGTAGTGATATATCCTCAGAGTAATAGTACTGTTTCATCAACTCGCTTAACTTATTGTGGTAGGCCCTTGAAATGTATTCAGCTTGGTGGCTGCTTAATTTTACTACCTTCTTGGGAGCAACAGTATCTGGACAAAGGGTAACATTCCTGTAAAATAGGGACACTACATTCTCCAGGGTGTCAGTGGTGAAATAGTCATCCCATTGACAGAGTCGAATGAGTTCTTGGACTGATCCCCAGTCTATATGTATGTAACTACGGTATATCATGCTCCCTGAATCTTGTTTGTTTCCTGTATTCAGTGGTGTAAAAGGCAGAGAGCAGAGTACCATTCTATGGTGACTACTGGAAAATCTGTAACCAACATAGGTAGAGACTGGGAATGTGTCATGACAAAACACAAGGTCCAACATGTTGTCACCACGGGTAGCTGTCTGAACATGTTGTTACCATCCATAACAATCGATAGTGGCAAGTAATTCGTTGAAGCGTTGGGGGCCGGAACTACTTAACCAATTGACTTCTGGAAGATTGAAGTCCCCTGCAATTATTTTGTAATTAGTATTAAACGAGGAGGCGTGTGCAAACGATTTAGCTAATAACGCATCAGTTCCTTTGGTTGAGCATGGTGCCCGATAAACACAGCCTATGAGAAGTTTATACTTATCTCCATGTAAGACTACCCAGAGTGAATCAGGTACCTCATTCAGTATTTCATCTTCCACCTTACTGACTACGAATGAGTTATGCATATATATGAGACATCCTCCACTACGCTTGCAATTTCTATTTGCACGGTGCACAGTGTAATCATATATGCTTATATGCACATTAAGTATAGAGGATGAGCACCATGATTCAGTTATCTGAGCTACAGTCGGCTTGGCGATTAATATTAATGTCCTTAGTTCAAATATCTTATTGATTAAGGAACATGCATTAATTAGTATTACCGTGAATAAGTCACGGGATACTACAAACTGGCTTAAAATATCACCACAACCTAATTTGATTTGTGCGTCAGCACCGGAAGAGTTTATGAATGATAAGGGGGTCGGACTCGGTGTACATACATCGGGGTTAGAGTCTGATTAGGTGCCATGCGTCGTACTAGTGATTTGGGACACCTAGAAAATTTACCGTGTGTTCCTGGATATAAGGGTAGTAATGGTTGGGCCTGGGTTGTAGATTTAAAGGCATAGCATCATAAGGTCTATCCATCAATCTGTTATTCGTCATACCGGTACATGTCTTCGTGTTGTTTTCATAACTAGAAGAATATTGTGAGAGAAGGTGCCTTGGTTGCAAGACTTTCGGGCCTAAGTTTCTATAGGGCGGAGTATGCTGGAAACCACCAAATATACTTGTGTTTCGAGAGGATTTCTTCGTATCAAATGTGGGTTTGCTAACACGCTTACTCTCGGCAAACTTACTGAATACAAAGTATTCTTCCCCATCATTAAGCTCAATCCTGCGAAATTTGTTCACCACGATGAGGTTACTACGTTTGGGTGGAAATTTCTTAGAACAACTTGCAGCAGTCCTAGCTATTTTAACATCTCTCAGTAAAGCCATATTTACAGGGATACTGATATCTAAATCAGTTCCTAGTTCCATTGGCAGGTATGGTTGTTGTGTAGTTTACTGAATGCTACTGTCAGTACCAGGTGACTGTTGCTGTACACGATCCACTTTTAAACCAGAGGAGGTGACCAGATTATTACTACGCATTATTCTGCGCTGACACGGCGTTTTATCCTGAGCTATGGTTACAGATTTATAACTGCTATTCAGTCTTAAGTGATCCTTAAATTTATTAAACTTACTGGCATCAAGAGAATTACCGAACTTAAAAATGATGGGACAATTAGCCTGGGTCGACTTTCTACGAAATCTTTTGCATTCATATGACACACTGACCATGCCGCAACAATCTAGGATTTTGTGCTTTATAGTCTTCAGAGGTATAGCCTGTTGAGAAGAGGCTATATACGCTTCATCACCTCCGCAGCCAGTCAGATTTTCAGCTTTATTTAGGTTGTCCAGAGACATTTTAGGATGTTTTTTAAACAGGCAAGCTATTGGGTCTAAATCCGCAAGCTTGTTTTGAGTTACTTCCAGTAGAGACTTAACCTGACCAATATCAGAACGATTCTCCATGATATTTGAGATTGGCAGTGTCATGCTATCAAACTGACCTAACTTTTCCTGAAGTTCACTTACTTGCCTCTGAATATCTTTCACAAGGCGATTTAATTGACAGAACTCAGAGTTCTCTAATAGAACATCTTTCACCTGTATCACAGGAGTGAGAACTGCACTCGAGCCAATTTGTGAGCTAGTAGTTGATACTGTATTAAAGGGCGGTAATGCAGTTATAACCGAGCTTGAGGCACTATCTAGAACAATTGTGTTTTGATGAACACGTTTTTGAGAGATTTGGACCATAATTTTATGGATTATATATGAATAAGCCGTAAATGAATATCAGAGAAGACACGTGCAAAAATGTCACCAATTTCAAACTAAGCGTACCCAGCCTCCAGAGTGACATCGTCGAATGATGGACATTTGCGTTAGGTTGGCATGGATGGTACATCATGACTCCCGCCTTGGGGTCCAAGAGATACGTCGAGTTGGTGGCTCGAAACGTTATCAAATATGATCAAGAATCGAAATCAATGGCGAACATGCAACCCCCTCATTTCTTCCCTTTCTGACAGTAGTACGACGAAAGTTCGGAAACTTCACACAATTCTTCCCATCAGTTAATCTGAGTAAAGCAAGAAATACAAATGGCCAGGATAATCTGCACTATTTCGTGGCGTGAATTCGCACTGTTTAATGCTTGTGGGCTCTTTAGTTTCAGGTTCTTCGGTATTTGCCCAGAGATGTGGACAATAAATCTCCTCATTGTACCAAAGCACACTTTAGTACGTACATGTAAATTGGTAGACGCAGTTGGAGGCAACATGAGGCGGGAGTTTGTCGACTTTTGACTGTCTTAAACAACTGGTCGTTTGATAAACACATACAAGCTTGGTGGCCAGATATGTTCTTTTCCGGGCAGCGTTCAGTCTGCATCTTATTCTACTGACAGCATCGTTACCTTTGAGGGCAGGCTGTGGGTTTTTTTTTCTAATGTGTTGTACTTCACCGATGACGTTTCGAGCACAAATTATTGCTAATAGTCATATGAAGTTGTTATCCATAATGGAATTACACGTTGTGACGATTTTTATAACCAAAAACACTGGATTTCTCTAAAATACGGTAGTGCATAAAACATGAAATGTTATATAAAAACATCAATTTTGAGGTTGCTGTGGCTGAATGCCGTCAAGGAGCACAGTGAACGTCCGTCAGAAAGTTAAAACACACAACTTTTATCTCAGAATTGACATTTTCATATAACATTTCATGTTTAATGTACTACTGTATCTTAGAGAAATCCAGTGTTTTTGGTTATAAAAAGCGTCACAACGTACAACTCCATTATGCTTCGACAGGAAGTTAAACATTGAGTAAGTGACTTGATATGATTATGAGCAACAATTTGTACTCGAAACGTCATCAGTTAATATTACCGTACATCACCGCTGTGATTTATCAAAATAAAATATCCATAATGATGTTATACTCTACCACAGACCCCAAGTTTTATACTTATCTAACAACGTGTTGAATTCCATCTGGCCAACAATACGTTTTCCAGGCTGGCGATGAACTCCTGTGGGAAACCATTATCACTCAGGCACTTTTCAACACTGAATAATTCTCCATTGAACAAAGCTTCCTTAAGCGATCAGACGGTGTTCTCACCAACTCCTTTTTGTAACTTATAGGGCATACGCTATTGAAGTTCACGTAAATCCTCACTCTTCAGGTATCCTTTCTATGGAGGTACCTTACGATCTCACTACCTCTATCACGTCCAATGCTAAGGTTCAGTGTCCTCCTCTTTACACTCCATTGTAAAATTTACATTAGCATGAGCACTATTCACGACGTTTAATATTTGAAAGAATCTCGAACGACAAACGTGTCATCGAAAAACCTGCTACACAAGTATGTCTGATTGATCGACGTCTCTGTTCTTGTTTGTGTATTTCAAAGTGATATCGATTGTACATAGTACCGTTGAAAACAGATTCTATGGATGTGTAGTTACGCAATTCAACCAGATATGTACTCCTTTTCAAGTTCGAGCTCAATTAGAATCCATAAATAATAAAATAAATCATTTATACAAGGTTTTATTTTAAAAAACAAACGTAGTCTGGAATATTCGAAAGCATAAATATACTGTACATACACACATATTATTATTATTTACTATTAATATTATTATTAATAATAATAAGATAATAACAATAAAATAATAATAAATATACTGTACATATACATATATTAGAAGCGCATTGGTGGACCGCGACCACGACCCCGAGGACCTCCACGCCCACGACCACGAACAAGACCTCGACCACGGCCGCGAGTGACAGGACGCTCTGGAAACAAACATACATAATATGCTAAGTGAGACAGAGCACGACGAGTAAAAACAGCACACTGATTTCAACGGTAACATTACCACTACTCAACTCCAACACCTGTGCACGTGTGTATACCAAGTCATTATCTACACTTCTAAGGTAAGCTGATAGTTGATCTAATTAACATAATCTACATCTTTATCCCTAGTAAGAGACCAACTAGATGCACAGTTTACACTGAGCGGAAACAATTTGAATCACTTACAACCCGAACTACCAAATCATTGTTCCTAGTAAGATAGCAAAACCCTGATTGATAATCACAATGAATTCACCAGGAAAAAATAAACTACCTAGGTTACCTTCACGTCCAGGTTTTCTTTTCGGTGGCCCTTCGTCAATCAGAAGCGTGTCCAAGGGAAGACTTTCTGGCAGGATGAAATACCGTATATTATTTCCACGGACAGTTAATGTGTCTAGGTGTATTGCATCCCGATTCTTAAGCGTCAGTGTTACGGACCGCAAGTGCGTGTTCATAGACACATCAACGCCAGCAATGCTTCCATGAACTTGAGTGCCATTTTTCAGTTCTATGGTTACAGTCTCATGGGACAGTTTCATAAGAAACCTGAAATATTTATAGCAAAACTGAAAATATACCACATGTGCAATTAAAAATTTGTCGTTATTTACAACTATACACAGTTACCACAAGACAGTTCTGACTACAAACCATTTTTAACATAGCTCTTTTGATGATTGTCTTGCAAGAGTGACACTCAAAAGAACAAAGCACGTAACACAACAAGTGGAAAACAACACTATCAACCACTGTAATCTATTCATCATGTTGTTTAGATGTGCAAACTAAATCCACAACAGTACTCTGCACTTATCATACACGAATCACAACACCTACCACCGCGTTAATACAACCGCTTTCTTAGATAAGCAACGAATCTCAACAAATCCTTCCAAAAGCAGAATTGTGACAAGCAAACATTTCTGGCACAATTTGTTGTTCACAACTACGATGTGATTTCAAACAACACTGCATTGTATCTGTTATGAAATTCACTTTGAAGACAGACCGAAAACTAGGTGACTGATTGAAACGAAATCACTCGACGGGAAGGTTATATCATTAAAGGAGAAAAGTTTAAGGAATCCGTCTCAACATTTCTCCCTGGGGTGAAGTTTTCTAGTAGTATAAGTTATATGATACCCATATCTTTCTTTCTAGCTTTTCACTCAGAGTGGGAGAGCGTATGTAAGAAATATCGCCTCGAAATATCTCCGAAAACATTCCAATCATCAACTTTCTGGATACAAACTCTCATTTGAGACACCAGCTAATTCTGTTCTTAGATATCTGGATATCTGAACCAACCCGATTTAGACGCCGAATTACGAAATATCCTGAAAGTTCGTTGTAGTCATTTACACCGTCTATGCGAATTGTGAGTGTTGAATACATCTGAATGACGCATACTTGCATCTTGCAAAAGTAGCGTAAGTGGGCGAAGACATCAATTTTGTAAGTGAAGACTAAGGACCAGCTGAACACTTGTATATTCTACAGACCCGTGTACAAGTCCGAAGAATTCGAATTGCAGTATTCCAACAGCTGCTACCTAGAAGTGGTGTGGAAAGCCAGAATAAACATCATTTCTGAGAACTCATCACGTGGTAGGGATATAGATGCTGAGTTTCATATGGAAGCTGCATGCGAGTCAAACTAACATCACGGAAGACTCGTAGAGTGACAGCTCGTAATTTTGGATCCTTAACATTATTTCTTAGGGCTTTTACCAGAATCACCGGTGAAATTTTCACCTCTTTGGTTACGTATGCATCCAAGTAGTCAGTCCTTATCTAATAACCTCACCTATCACTTTTGTTTCCTATCATCACGTCCAGACAGCTAAGTTCAAAATCAAAGGAGCTATATCGCTGTGTAGCAGTGGTTCACCGACCGAGCCATTAACTTTTGTAGCTGACTTCCAGGAAATCAGATTCGGCAGAAGCAGTATGACACACTATGATCAATAATCAAACTATTGATAGTTAGTGGGGGGAGTAAAAGTATCTGTTATCTTTAAGGCTTTTATTTCTGCTAATGCCAAGTTAAGCTACTCCCTCTTCATCGTTTTAATGTCAGTGCACATTGTGCTCCTACTTCATTAACAGTTCTTCCATCTAAACCGTTCAATTTCTTAGGATGACATTTTCAGGTGTTATCTTGTCTACTACTGCACTGAAATCCAGTCCCCCTTACAACATACTTATTACTATAGGGACTAACTTCACATTGGTGGTCACGCTGTTTTTAAGACAGATTTCTATTCTAAAAATTTGTTGGATGTTTTGATCTGAGTATCTCTTCAACGGTGATGATCGAATCAGTAACAAAATTACAGTTAACCATACATATGAAGCTGGGATGGATGCATTTTGAAATTCAGGTTACTTTTTAAGAATATTAATTATCTACTTTATTCCAAAAACAGTACTTATAATACAGAGTGGAATTCTCAGCATTCGTCACACTTTTGCATCTGATTTACTTACAATATAAACAAAATTAAAATCAAAACAAAATTAACCAGAGAAATTCGTCCACGTTTACGATATAAAGTCAAAAATATTCGAAGCACAAATTGAGAATATTAAACATATTATTAATAACAGTATTGTCGATTCAGTTCGAAAATTTTAGCATGTTATAGATTATTGAATCTAATATTCTACTGATATAGTATGGTGAGGGGAAACGCAAAATTAAGTCATAACACAGCTTAAATTATGTCCACACTTGTGAAATAATAAACAAAGAAAAACAAAAACTTCAGAGGATTATAAATATAAGAAGTACAACAACAATAAAGGTTGATGTTGTAGGGGTGGAGGGAATAGTTTATTTACTAGTACAAAGAAGGTTAGTTAGTTCATGGCTAACACGATTCTCATCACATAAAGTACATACCAAATATGGTATAGTGGAATTTTTATACTTAGACGTACTTGCATAGTCTTCTGAAAAGACTTCTTGTTTTACCTGAGACACAAGGTTGAAGCTGCAGGTAGAGTGGGTGCTCACAGTCTGACAAAATTCCTTTAGCAAATTTGCTGCATGACATCAAGTGCCTATCAGTGACAATGTCAACGATATGGCCCAATGGGATACCACTCCCCCTACTGACAGTCTTCAGAGTTCTACGAAGTGTGTCACAGTCTTTTTTAAGCAATTCGGGAAAGAATAAGGGTGAACAGTAGAGAAGAATAGATAGGATGCACGAGTTGACAAACTGTAAGAGGAGGAAGGGTTCAGTTATGCCTGAGTGCCTTAACTTCTTCATTTAAAAAGTCAGACGAAATATTCTTTTAGAAATCGCTAAGACATGGGAAGACCAGGATAGACCAGAAGAAAGAATTAATCCAAGATACTTAACTTCAGACTTGGTTTCTATATTAGTATCATCAATTTTGCAAGGATCATAGGAACCAACGGCTTCATTTAACTTTCATTTACATAGGAAACTGAAATTAACAGTCTGACATTTGGAAAGATTTAGTTTAAGGCCGTTAGACGAAGACCATTTGCTAATTCCTGATAGAAAGCTGTTCATCTTAGTACAGTCTAGCTGGGAGTTAACAGACATTGAAATAGTTAGATCGTCCGCATACTTAACAAAGTTCATTTCATCGGAGTGAGGCAAGTCATGCAAGAAGAAAGAAAACAGAAAAGGAGGAAGGACAGCGCCTTGAGGGACACCAGCCTCAGTAAGCAATGAAGTGGACGACTTTCCCTGACATACAGTGTATTGCTTTCTTTCTGAGAAATATGAATGCAGCCATTTGACAACCCAACACTCAGTTTGAGTTTCAGCAGGCATGTTTAACCAAGTGTCCCTAGGTACTGACTCGAAAGCAGAAGTGTAATCTAGGGAGGTGCAGCGAACAAATTTAGCCCCCTTGTCTAAGCTGGAGACAATGTTATGATACAAGACTGCAACTGCATCTTAAGTATTTCTGTGTTTATAGGCGAATTGTTTGGGATCGCTAAAGGTGAAGGTTGAAGATTAATTAAGAGTTACTTTCCCATCGTTTTTAGAAAAGGAGAGATAATAGCAATAGGTATAAATCTAAAACATGTTCCAGTAAATGACTTAGGTATAGGTACAATTTTAATGTCCTTACAAACGGCTGGCGCAACATTTCCAGGAAAAGTTTCATTAAATATGTTCATGAGAGAATAACACAGAATATCTGCACACCTTCTAAGAATATCACTAAGCAAACCATCTGGACCTAGGCTACAAGAAGGGTTCAGAGACTGCAGACATTTTAGAACATCATTTGTATTGAAACCTGGGGAGCAACTCTAATTAACACTTGTAACACTGGAAAGTTTGGCATTTGTGGGAGAATGCATGAAAGCCTTGTTTAGTGTGCAAACATCAAAGGAATAAGGAATACTATTCATCTGTTTACCACCAATAATTTCTTTAAAAAGTTTCCATATACATTATAGGCGTTTTTACAGGATATAAACATTTAGTTGCAAATTGAATTCAATCTGTGCATTTCAGACTTTATTAGGATGTTAATTCTTTTCAAACCAATGTTATTCTTCATTTTAAATAACTTTTCCTTTTTAAGTTGAGGGGAGGAGAAACGGTCAAATCTGATGAAGAGCGTTTCTCTAGGAGAACAGGCGTCAAGAGGAAATTTGCGATAACATGTGATATTAGAGATATTATCATCAAGAGTCTTCATTAAACAAGTCCTACCTTGTGTCTTTGAGCATGCCCCTAAGATTATGAACATTTTCCTTAGAGCAACAACCATGTACAATTTCCTTCGAAAGGTGTGAAAAAGTTCTCATGTGTGACTTTCCATAAATTTAGGGTAAAACCCGTACAATACAATGATCTTAGTTAAGCAGTGGGGCTCTTTTACGAGCTTCGTATATTCCGCAGCGCATCTGAGTACCCTGACAATATTAACTCATATCTTCTCAAGACTCCACACTGAATACTTCACAAAGACATCTCATTAAGTCATGCAACGGCACAAAAGTAGGTGCTAATCAAGTGGAAGGACTTCCCTATTCTATCAACGCGATGGACACCTTTCATACACTTAACATATAAACATATGCTTTTGAATTCATAGAGCATTGCAGACGTAAGATAGCAGACAACCGTTACGAAATACAACATATCTGAGTATGTTTATTGAACCACACAAATAACTACGCTTTCAACGCAAATATTTCTACTGAATCAACATGGTCCTAATTATAAACGTGGAAAACAGTAACTCACCTCACAAGCTTCATTCTTTCAATGACCACCCTATGACCCAGACAAACAAACCCTTACGTCCAATGACGTTTTAACGACCTAGATCTAGAGTAAACCAAATTGATCTCCAAATCCAGTATCCATTATGGTTTTTACCAGCTAGTATAAACCAATTTGGTTTCTTTGTGCTCGCCTCTTGATTGTGAGGTAAAGTTTTCTGATCTTCGGTAAACTTCTGTGTAGCTCATCCCGCCACTCGAATGTCGTAGCTTTGGTTGACTCCAAGAAGAGTAGTGCTTCGATTAATTAAATGTTGTTTGTAGTATGCAGTGAGTTAAGAATGTTACTACTGTGAATGGAGTTGATCCTTTCACCAGTTAGTTCTCCGGTATAGTCATCGAAAGATACCTTAACTGTCCGTGGAAATAATATACGTTATTTCATCCTGCTTCTGATTGACGAAGGGCCACCGAAAAGAAAACCTGGACGTGAAGGTAACCTAGGTAGTTTATTTTTTCCTGGTGAATTCTTTGTGATTATGAATTAGGCCTTTTGCTATCTTACTAAAAACAATGATTTGGTAGTTCGGGTTGTAAGTGATTGAAATTGTTTCCGTGCAGTGTAAACTGTGCATTTAGTTATTTGGGATAAAGATGTAGCTTATAGGATTAATTACGTTAATTAGATCAACTATCAGCTTACCTTAGAAGTGTCGATAATGACTTGGTATACACACGGGCACAGGTGTTGGAGTTGAGTAGTTATAATCTTACCATTGAAATCAATGTTCTGTTTTTATTCTTCGTGTCCCGTCTCAATTAACATATTGTGTATGTGTTGTTTCCAGAGCGTCCTATCACTCGCGGCCGTGGTCGTGGTGGTCCTCGAGGTCGTGGTCGTGGTGGTCCTCGGGGTCGTGGTCGCGGTCCACCAATGCGCTTCTAATATATGTATATGTACAGTATATTTATGCTTTTGAGTATTCCAGACTACGTTTTGTATTTTGAAATAAAACCTTGTATAAATGATTTATTTTATGATTTATGGATTCTAGTTGAGCTCGAACTTGGAAAGAGGAGTACATATCTGGTTGAATTGCGTAACTATACATCCATAGAATCTGTTTTCAACGGTATTATGTACAGTCGATATCACTTTAAAATACACAAACAAGAATGGAAACCTCAATCGATCAGACAGACTTCTGTAGCAGGTTTATCGATGACACGTTTCTCGTTCGTGATTGTTTCAAATATTAAACGTCGTGAATAGTGCTCATCCTAGTGTTGAATTTACAGTGGAGTGTGAAGAGGAGGACACTGAACCTTATAGCATCGAATGTGATAAAGGTAGTGAAATCGTAAGGTACCTCTATAGAAGGGAGACTTGGAGGGTGAGGGTGTAGGTGTTCGTGGTAGAGGGTTCTTTGGCACTAGAAGGAGTGTTGTCCGTATCTCTGAGCATATACCGAAGAATCTGAGACGAAAGAGCTCACTACCATTCAGTAGTGTAATTGCACACCACGAAATAATGAACGAAATAGTGCAGATTATTCTGAGACATTCGTATTTCTCGCTTTACTCAAACTAATTCATGGTAAGAATTGTATGAAGTTTGTCAACGTTCGCCATACTACTGTCGGAAAAGTAAGAAATTAGGGAACTGCATGTTCGCCATTGATTTTGATTCCTGATCATATTTGATAACTTTTCGAGCTACCAACTGGAGCTATCTCTTGGACCCCATGCAGAGAGTCGTGATGTACCATCCATGCTAACCTAACTCAAATGTCCATCATCCGACGACGTCATCTTGGGGGCTGGTCAACTCTCTGCTCTTTCCATCTCATCACAGGGCCAGCGAACATAGGCCAGTTCGGAAACCTCTGGGGTGACATTCGTAGCACATGTCCAAGCCACCGGAGCTGTTGTCTTTAGGTGACGACACTCAGTGAATCCTTGTCTCCACTGTGTCCAAACACACACTACCGAACCTCAGAATTACACACGATGATACCATCAAACATCAGAAGTTCAACGGAGATTTCGACGGGTGAATACGTGGAGTTGCCGTAAATCTACTGTCGGATATGCCAGGTTCGACAGGAGTATAGCTGGACTTCGCGGACCTCAGGGTTTTAGTCATGACCTCCGATACATAGGTTGACGGCGCTAGAGGTAGGTCATGTTGACGTGTGTATGCAAACTGGGCAACCCTGTTCGACCCCACTGTTAAATTTGGGAACGGTGGCGACAGTTGGTTGCACGCCGTCAATCTCCTCAGGGATTGACTTGTTATCTCGTTCACTTAGAATATGCAGATGTCACAGTCCCTCTAGGTGAAGATACTGACAAAATGCAGAGTCTCCTGAACACCTTGAGTTGCAATCTACAAATGTTTGGCACGCGGTTCGCTCCTGATATTAAATGCAAGATGATGCTACAGGACTGGACTACACTGACTCCTAGCTTAAAAATAGGGAGTGAAGTGGTAGAGAACGTTGACCACTTCACTTATTTGGAAAGTTGCACACGCCAACGCCAGTGAGTTGATCATTGACGAAATCTCAGCACGGATACAGAAGGCTAGTTTCGCATATTTCAGTTTACGCCGTCTCTGGCGTAGGCGTGATATCCGGCTATCGACCAAAGGGAGTGTGTACTGCTCAGCAGTCCGCTCCTTCCTCTTTTATGACTGTGAGACATGGCCATTGTGAGCGGAAGACATGAAGAGGCCATCTGTCTTTGATCATAGGTGCCTGTGTTCTACCTCCCGTGTTAAATGGTATAATAGAGTGAGCAGTATTGAGGTTAGGCGTCGAGCGCTAAGTAAGGTTCGGAAATGAATCGACGAGGCTGTGAAGTTACATCGATTGAGATGGTTAGGACATGTGTTATGCATACACCGAGCCATCGCCTTCCTCGACTGACGGGCAGTGTAAGCTGGCATAAGGTCAGGTTCGAAAAGAGCTAGCGGCGGTCAAACCAAAACATGGCCCCAGTCAATGAAATCCACAACAGTTAGTTTAAGCCACAGACCCACGCAGGAAGGTGTAGACTTTCAGGTTGTGGTCCTCGGGACGGTGGAAACCAATGGCAGCTGGAGAGAATCGGTGATAAGGCTCAAAATCGTTCTCAATGGCTTGCGCAGATGCATCCACTCCTTGTGACATATAATTTCCAATAAAACTATATTGTTCTTCGTTATTACTATTCCTTTTGTCTGATAACCTTGTCCACTGTCTATATTTTGCACTTCTGCGTTCTTCTCTTGCTTTGTGTGTTACATGGAGGGACTGTGGCGACTTGAACTGCTGCGCATCGGTACAAAGTTCTGTGTTGAAAACAGACAGACAATCTACCTTGGGCATCTCGGCATAAGGACTTAACAGACTTTTAAGGTGCACCGTTTCTCACAGACAGTTTCAGAGAGGAGTTCTATCGAAAGGAGTCCTAATATCAAGAAACACAACGACAGTTGGCCTGCAATACGTGTGACGGTGTACCAACAACTGACAAAGGGTAGACACATGGTCAATGCATAGCTGACCTAGACGAAACCCAGACTGCTCTTCGTGAGTCACCTCCTCGTGTGCTTTTCACAACCTGCGAGGCGAGACGTAACCAATATTTTAGACTCAACTGGTAGCAAACTAATATTCCTATGTTTGCCACCCGAATCTCTTAGGTCGTTTCTAAACATAGGCACGATAATGGCTTCATTTCAGATGAATGGATCATTCCTACTTTCCCGTACTTCCCTGAATAATCCAGTCAAAACCATGACGAGAATCTCGTCACCCGCTTCACAAAAAGCCGGGACCGGTTGTCTGGGTCGGATACTCAATGACGCTTCAACACTTGGAGTCCCTTTCGGACCTCTGTTTCGAGTAATGAGTCCCAGCTGTCGGTAAATCGTCACAAAATAATTACTTCCAGTATGGGGAAGGTTTCGAATCTATTAGATAAGCCCTTTGATATAATGATGAACCAGATCGTGACTGATAACAAGTAAGCAGTCGGATCCTATGTGCTGTGTGGTTGTCTACTAACTGGTGAAATATTTTCAAACTTAAAGTTTTATTTCCAGTAATGAGCTTAGGAGTGACGATTTTTGGTATATAGTATGCACTTTTTAAAATTGAGTATATTCGCTTTTGCTTACCTGTCGGCTGAGTTCCTTCCTTTCTTCCTTTGTCACTTTTGGGTAAGACGCCGTCGTCGCAGTGTTCACAGGTTGAGCCAATAAGCCCTTTTTCTTAGAATATCCTTCGACAGTTGAGTGTGCCACCAATGAACCACGCCGACTTGGCATTATGTTCAAACTAGCCACTTCCGTCGCTATCTTTGGTCTGCAGCGTCCTTTTCCAATGATTCTTTTGCTTTTTATGTAGATCTTCGGCATGATCAACAACTTCACTAGGTTTATCATAATTTACCATGCCTTCAAATTCATTTGTTGTATGAGTGGTCGTAAATGTCTTATCAGGCAATCCCTTGGAAACTTTGAAATCGAATTCGGAGCCGCTCTGGTCCATTTCGTCGGAGAAAGAAGACAGGCTCTGGTACACTACCTTGAATTACGCCACTTGATAAAATGGCAGCACTAGAAAAAGTGTCGTTAGTCTTAACAGATTGGAACCTACCACATACAAATCAGTTACACCACTATAAGAGATCGCCAGATATACTGTAGGCCTTTAGTTTTTCAGGAGTCAGCTATGACTTCGTTTATCGAATGCCTTCTTGATATCAATATACACAATGATCTCAATGGACTTTTTGTCTGTAAATCCAGTTATAAAATCAAATAGCTCCAAGTGGCAAGTCATCAAGACCTGGACTTTATAAAACCACACTGAGAAAGTGTTACGAGGTTTTCAGTCAGTAAGAAGTCAGTGATTTTGGTACTCATTGTCTTCTCATGTATCCTTGACAGGACAGATGTTATATTGATCGGCCTGTAATTCTTTACGCCACATTTTTAGCCGGATTGAAATCTAGGGATAATATATTTCTGCTTCCATTTGGAAGGATAAACTCCGTTCATAAGGGACGTTGAGAACGTTTTAAGCCATAGGAGAGGGAAATCGGAGCCATCATTGTTTATAAGAGATAAGGGAATTGAGTTAGGTCCAGGAGTATTGGAGAATTTCAATGAACTTATTGCACCTTTTATAACGTCAA